CCTTCTCTTCTAGCGGAACGCCATGCTCCCGCTGTGGCAGTGTCAATCCGAAACTATGAAGAGTGTCGCATAACATCAAGAACACTGGTTTGGACATGCTGACAGCATCTTCAAACCGGCCTTGGTGACTGTTAAACAACTCATACATCCATAAACGTCCTGTGAGTATGGATGTATTTCGAGGCACTCTGTGATAATGGTTGTAGTAATATGTAGCTACACTGTTATACGCCTCTAGGAAGTTGTGATCAGTTTCGACCACCATTTCCCGTGCAATTTCATCGATAGCTTCCCAAGCTGCATTACTGGGCACAATGTAACTAGGACCTGCGTCGTCTGCCATTTTGGAAACCTATAATGCAGAATATACAGAGCCAAGCTGGTTTACCAAAATCTGACTTCGCAAGTACGAGGCTGCCTACCAAGAAAATTATTACGACTTTGGACAATGAAAGAAGCAGATTGGGGCGAGGGTAAGAAAGAAGACAACCACACTGATTTGTGGTGTTCTCTAAAGAAATGAATGATGAGATGAGCAAAGATTGTGGTGAGACCTTTGAAGCTAACATGTCAACTGATTTGTGGTCTTATATAAAGAAATCAAAGATGAGCATGCGCAAAGATTGTGGTGGGACCTTTAAAACCAAAATTTCAACAAACCAACACAAACGGATTCTCTTCTTTGAAACCAAAAAATTGAGCATGCGTAAGAAAGGATTCTCTTCTTTGAAACCAAAATTGTGGTGGGACCGTTGAAACCAAAATTTCAGCAACTTCACGTGGTGTCCATGCAAATTGGGCAACACACAAATTATTGGGGGTTTCAACAAAAAGGGGTTCTCTTCTTTTTGGTAATAGATACCAAATTATTGGTGTATATGAAACTGTGTGCTGGGCCGACAAAGCATGTAAGAAAAACAAAAGCCAATCCTCACGTGTCATTTTTTCGTCACCTTAAAAAAAAGGGAGTACTGATTATAATATAAATAAATAGATAAAAACAAAACAACGGTTCGAATATCGTCCTTATATTAACAAAAATTGGAAATTAGTGATAAATTATTACCATTTTTTGACCAAATTTTTTGTCTCAAAAAGTAAAAATTTTTTTGAAAAATATATTATGAGGCCAATTTAAGTTATCATGTGAGTCGACATGAAAAGACTGTTCAAAAAATTTAATAAAGCTATCTTCGATAACAAAATTTTAAAAATATTTCTAATAAATGAACTTTTAAAGACAAAACAAATTGATGCCAAAAAAAATTTAATCTTTGAAACAAAAATTTTGATTCCAAAAGAATAATGAATTCATTACTAAATATACAATTCGGTTGATAACGAAGATATTTAGTTTTTAAATCTTAATTTTATTCTTAAATTTTTGTATTTAAAATCTTAATTTATTATAATGTAATTTTGTATCCGATTTTTTTGGGATCAATTTAAGCTGTAGTATTCATAGGCAAACTGAAAAAGGAAATGAAAGCGAGCAAGCATGTTATATCAATCAACTTAAAAGTTTTGTTCAAAAAAAAAAAAAAAAAATGGAAGAAAGGGGGGCCACACCCCAAAAACTTTCAATGGACCATTATCTCGTCACCAAATGACATCAATGGATATGCTCTCAAAACAATTTATATGCTACTCCAACCCCTTAATATAGGATTTTGGTGCAATGAAAGAGTGCCTTAAAACAAATATCTCAGATGAATAATCACATTCCATGGCAGAAAACCAAATCATCAAGAAAGCTTCTCCATAAAAACAAACTATATTAAAGATGGATAGGTCGTTTTTCAAAATATTGATTCCAAAAATTTCCAAGTTAAATAAAATGTCCCAACCAAGACCCAGGAAGGATCAGTTGTCATTTATTTGAAAGCTGTTACTTTATTTTGTTGGACAGAGGCTATAAAGGAATGCATTTTTACTTAAAACAATAACAAAATTGCAGATCAGTATCCCAGTGGTTTCTTTTGTTCCATTTCTCCCACACCGCATCGTTCCAGCAAAACTCTATGAAATAGAAAAAAAAAAAAATTCATAACAAAAATCAAAAATCTACAACAACCAACTCCATAGACACCAACATCACCACAAAACAACGCATCGTCTTCCCTGAAGGTTTGACTTTAGCGAGCTCATGTTGAACGATGTTTTATCTTTTATATATTTATTGAGACCATTTTAAGAGGGTATGTCACGACTAATGACATTATAATTTGTCGAACGTGTGTACTTTTGTTGTCTTCCAGCTTCTATACATCGTAATTTGGCTACTATTTAAAAAGACAGAAACTTGACATCCGAGCCTATTGCAGTGTCTACCAACTTAACACGCTGTATTCAGGTGAGTGAGAAATGCCGACGTGCGCTGATTGCTTTTAATTGTCGTCACCAGCATACAGTTTTATGCACCATATGGTATCTATTCACCAAAAAGGAAGGTAAACGCGCTTTTGTGAAACCAGAGTAATGTGAGTGTATACCCTAATTCTCTATGGACATCCACGTTAATTGCCTGAACACATTTGTGTTCAGTATCCCACCAACAGATGTTGTGTGAGTTGTAAGGATAGAGAATCACCTTACCATATAATTTTGTTTCAGAGAGTCCGTATTCGAGGTTGGATTCGTAAAGGTCTCTCCCACTTGATTATTCATATTGAGACAGCTCACCATCGTTTGGTGTTACGCCTCTACTATTCAGAGCACAATTGCATGACAGTTACTTCAAAGAGATCTCTACACAACTCTTTGCTGTGCATCTATCATCTCTTTAGAGTAACACCACAAATCAGTTGAGTTGTCTTTTTCTTACCCTTCGCCCCTCAATCTGCTTCTATGATCTATGTCCAAAGTCGTAATAATTTTTCTTGGTAGGCAGCCTCGTACTCTGCTGAAGTCAGATTTTGTAACACCAGCTGCTGGCTCTGTATATTCTGCAATTATGGGTTTCCAAAATGGCAGACGACGCAGTGTCCCTTATTACATTCGTGGTCCCGATAATGCAGCTGTTGCGGAAGCTATCGATGAAATTGACCGGGAAAGTTGTGGTCGAAACGGTCACAACTTCCAGAGGCGGTATAAACAGTGTAGGCTACATATTACTTACAACCATTATCACAGAGTGTCCTCGAAATACATCCATACTCACAGGACCTTTATGGATGTATATGAGTTGTAAACAGTCACCAAGCCGGTATTGAAGGATGCTATGTCAGCATTCCAAAACCAGTGTTCTTGATGTTTATGCGACACTCTCATTCAGTTTTCGGCATTTGACACTATGCCACAAGTTGGGTGGTCGAGCATGGTCGTCCTGCTGAGAAGAGAATTGGTAGCCATTTATGCTGCAACTAGGGGAATGAAGATGTATATATATTGCAAGAACGTTCCAACACTCGAAGGAGACATTGTCACGCATTTCCAGAGGTTTGAAAGTTTTGATTACCGTCACAGCGGTCATAGAAATAATAGCGAGTCTACGCCTGAGGCAATGTGCACAGGGGGCCACCACAATTACAATCGCAATGTCGATACCGGCCATTCAAGTGAGACTGTTTCACATTAATTTTAAATATCCACAGGTGGCGACATATACCATGAATTTTTATTCTATATATTCTGCGTAATGGTGCGTTGTGTAGGACTCATCGCGTGCCATAGACGGCTGACGCACGATGATGCGCTCGTGTCTCGGAAGAGTACGCCACTTCGTATTACGGCCTGGAAAGGCGTCCCAACACAGAACATTACTGGCGTATGGGACTTCGATTGTGCTTTCACGTTTGTGTCAGTTGGTTGGATCTAAGGCGATGGGAGCATGCACGACAGTTAGGCGTGCTGCACTACGTGACAACCGACCTAAACATCGCTTTCCCGCACCCCGCCACCTTGGTTAAAATATCATCTTACGTAACAAAGTAGTATAATCTGTACTTGCTATCGTTAATTTGAGACTTACCAAAAATAGATTAATATCATGTAAAAAAAAAATTTGACCGCAAAATTATTTTTCTCAAAGAACTTGTTTGTAAACAAATGTCGTTGTTAGGAAAATACTACTTGGTGGTGCGATAGCTGGCATACAGCAACAATACAGGATATCTAGCCCCATACAAGCGGATATAGGTATCACCAAAATTGCTCATCGAAATCGAAGACCACAAAATGGAGTTTCGAACATTCAATTAAGGCACATTCGTCATTGCGTAATTGTATCGAGCCGACATTCGGTGCATGGGGAAGTCGAGGTGGGGGGCATTGGCGGAATATTCAGAAGTTGAGGTTTCTCTAATCAACTGATCTTCGTGTGTGCGTCGATGGCGTTACATAACTTCATACGCTGGAAACAGTGAAATTGATGAGGTCACCAGTTCCTATCGCAAATAGCACCGGGGAATACGTTGGCTCCCGAAATGCCCGACCACGATGAATACGCACGGGTTGCGGATGTTGATTGAGGAAGGGGGGGACTCCGGACCCCGCCAATGACAGTTTGTACGAGGCGAAACATTACGTAACCAAACTAGCCCCAAACAAACTGAACACGAATAATTGAAACATTAATGTTGGTTTTAAATTTATAATGTGTGTTTAACTCAGGATTCAAAAAAAGATTATTATCATGCCGTTTTGTTTAATGTGTTTTGTATTTCTGGAATTTGTAATACTTCTTGTTCAAGCAGGAAGGGTTGATAAAGTTTTGTAAAATCCAATTTTATTTGCTAATATGTCCAAAAAAACAATATTGAAAACGAAATGGAAAGGAATAAAAAAAAAAAAACTTGGTTGAACAATTAGAAACAGCCCACTGGGCATAATAAAAAAGGAAAAGAATAAAAAAATTACAAAAAAAGCAATTAAAAAAAAAAAGAATTGAACCAAATTTGTTTAAAACGGAAAAACAATAAAGCGAAAAGAATAGAATAAAAAAATTAAAGA